GGAAGAGGGGAGGTGTCCGGTGTCAATTCACTTGACCTGATAGAGATTGAAGACGAGTCAACATCTGATAGACACGTGATAGATCACGCGATCAAGACCTAAATAGTGGGCGGAAGCGAAGCTAATAAAAGGGCGGGCAACCTTAAGCAAGCCCCCAGTAGCTTATAAGCACTCCGCGATGTAGCGTGTAGCTTGAGTTCTCCGACCTTACGGTCGACGCCGTAGCCTATACCTATGTATTATTACGTTGTATTCCCACCCCGTATACAAGATACGTTATCAGGACTGATGTGTCTTACCTATCCCTCGCTACCTTAGTCACGTAACCCGATCCTCAGGTAGAACTTAATATAATGTGTTCAATGTTATGAGTGTAACTCCTGACACACATATACTAAGGATACGAAGAGGAAACGAGGCGTGGAGAGGAGACGGGTTGAGAAGGAGAAACGTGTTGAGGAGGGGAGACGGGGTGAGATGGCGAAACTAGTTGGGAAGGGTAGATGGGGTGAGGAGAGAGAGATGAGATGAGAAGGCCAGCGGATGCACGATGCTGTTGCTTGCTTCTTGTCGCTGGTAGTGGTGCAGGGGCGGACGATAAGGCATAGTGCCCAGGCACGCCTACAGTCGTCTCTGGAATACCTGAAGGGGGAATTATTTTTATCCTTTCAGCTACTCTGGAAAGACGTTAGACTGCCTCGGTCCCACCACGGAAAGGGACCCGCGACCTCGAAACCAGGGTACTCAGTGATCATGAACACCGCGGCGACGCCAGGGTCCTCATGTACACCGCGGCGACGCCAGGGCCCTCATGTACACCGCNTAATTTAAAAAAGTTTGTACCTATTTAGAATTTATAATTCTATAAATTGCATAACGCAATGCACAAATTCAAGATCACCAATGAGTATGAATTTAAGTCTCATGACTAGAGAAGACTTCAAAATTTATTGTACTATCACGTAGGCGTGATATAAGCTTTTTGTCCTTTCGATGAACAAAGTTTATTTAGGTTCTATTGGGTGTAATGGGTAGAACAATGCGACATATTAGCGGCCAACGATCGGTTGACCATCGGTTGGTTATTTCCAACGATCGGTTGACCATCGGTTGGTTATTTCCAACGATCGGTTGATGTTCGGCTCTTAATAATGCTGATTAACGTGTACAAATATTGCCGTATATACATCGTCCCAAGAGTTTCGATGCAAAGATTTTTATTTAAAGGATAATAAATCGATTTGCAATTGTTTAATCCCTCGTATGGAAATAAATAAACATCATTCGATTTATTTCAAAAGCGTTTCATAAATGAGCATTAGCATATTTCCTATGAATAAACCAAGTTAAAGTAACAAAATAATTCGTTTGAATTTTCGTTCGTTTGATCAGAAACAACCTAATTAATCATTCTCTTGCACTAAATATACGAATGATTAGTAGGACTCGGTTACCGTCCGCAATGATCATCCCGCTAGATTATGCACCGGGAGAGGGAAGCGGGAATGAAGCTAGGTATTTAATTTAGTTGCACGCTGGCCCACGTGATATGTAGTTCTTCTCGTCTGAACTCTGAATTGCGTGTTTAGTGTGCATGATGGAAAACTCTGCTTTGCAGCGTAGTTATAATTACTTAATGAAGTTAAGTTCATTGCGATCAACTTAAGAGACAAATTTTCAACTAACTAATACTTTTTATAAGTCTAATTTTAATTGTTAAGTGAAAGGTGCAGGCATACAACTTGCAAGTGATTAGGTACTTTATAGAAACTGAGCAAGTGCAAGTTAGCGTACGTGTTTTAAGCCTTTAAGAAGTTGATTTTTTGCCTCAAATAACGATGTTATTTGAGAAATGCGCCACGACTAAAAGCGCATTTTTCGTGGCCAGTGGCCACGACGAGCGCAGTTTCTCGTCGACGAAAACACGAAGTCACGGACGGACAGACAGATGGACATGGCGAGTACAATAGTGCATTTTTTATAAATGAGAAAATGCGCTAAAAACTGCGCTGCAACTGCTCCACGCGACAACATTTCTTCTCTCTTCGAATCACCGACACGTATAGTATAGTCAGAGCTGGGCAGTAGCGCGCTACATGTAGCGGCCGCTACATTTTCAGTAGCGGTAGCGGTAGCGGCTCTACATTTAAGACAATGTAGCGGCAGCNGACCACACAACGTTTCCAAACTCTAGGTTCGGGCGCACGACAGAGGTGAACAACAGCTTCATCATTTCTACATCTAGGTACTCGTAGGAGCGTCTGATCAGCCCAAGCAATTTATTGGATTTATGAACTTGCGTTTCAATATGCCTAGAGAATTTTAGCTCCTTGTCGACCCAAACTCCAAGATCTTTTTCCACGCAAGACTTCTCAATCATAACCCTCTCGTTGCAACCGTGACTTCTCATGCTGTAAGCTTGCTGTTCATTGTTCTTGCCAAAGTGAAGTACTTTACACTTGTCAGCATTGAAACGCAGCTGCCACGCATCAGCCCAGTCAACTAAACTATCAAGATCATTTTGCAGTGCATTTTATTTGACGCATCCTTAATTGTATTATAAACTTTTATGTCATCTGTGGCATATCAAGCTTCCTGTATTCTTAATAATTAGCCACTAAGAAGAAGCACACTTTAGAAGTCGTGCTCCGTAAGACTTCGTCCTCGTTTCATGTTCATTATGTTGGTTCCAATAAAGCCTGTTCCGTGCTACCGTGTTCTTCCCACGTACCTTCACGCGCGTAACTTCATACATTACACATCGGCATACATGGAGCACACGCTTGACACTACTTCTGGTAGATCGTTTATAAAAGCGACAAACAAAACAGGCCCAAGAACGCTTCCCTGCGGTACGCCACTGCGCACAGTTACCCAGTCTGAATTCAATGGATCAGGAATTTCCTACTAGGAAATTCCTGATCCATTGGAGTACTGGAACAGCCTCCCTGATTTCATCGATCCAGCTCCAAGTTTGAACGCGTTCAAGAACAGACTAGTTGAAGCTATGAAAAAATATATGTTCAGACTTGAAATGCCTAGCACCATATCGAACCCGGTGGAAGTCTAGTAGCTATTTCAAGCTATCGTCAGTCCTGAAAAGATCCGGTCAAATGACACGATTCTAGATCTTCTATGAACAAAGCACGAAAAGGAAAAGAATCGGCGACAGGCCACATCAGTCCTACGCTTCAGCGCCGAGATCACTATGTTATGTTATGTTAATTACTATCGTTGATTACATGGGATCGCTGAACTCATCTTCAGGTTATACAATGCCTCATCTCATTATTCTTCATATTATATAAAGGTGTGGATTGTAACTGAAAATACACTCTCACAGTTGTAAAACGAAGTTTAAACATTGTTTGTTACTGCGCACAGATGGTAAAAAAAATATCTATATAAGCATGAAAATTTTCAGATTGTCATTACAGTTACGAGTGGAGTTAGAAAAAATCTACTTAGTGATTGAATCCAATGGAATTCAGCCGAGCCCGGTTGGGGTGTCTGAATAGGAGTCTTAAGGCCAATAGCCTGTAATTCTGGAGTCTGTCTCAGCACCTCATCCGTAAACTGCTATTACCAGCCATGCTTTTAGGTCATCAGGAATGATTCTCTCCCTCAACTGTACAGTCATTCGTTCGGTGGTTTCTCGACCTTCCATGAATTAATTATCATTCTTAATTACTTCTATTTCTTTCTTGAGGCTATTATCATTTGTTCATTGGCTTCTTGATATTCCTTGAGTTAACTATTTTTGTTTCATTTTCAACATATTCATTTTCATTGCATGAGATATTCTACTTGCAGAAAATGTTCTACTACTACAACAGAAAGAGACACTAGGTACTTTGGGACACTAGTGAGCCAAGATCACAACTATAAGGCATGTACAAATCACTTCAGGGAGTCGCAGAGCCTAACGATACCTCGGAGCATGATTGCGACTATAATTTTTGCCAGGGGTTGTATATATACAGCGTGTACCGATCACGTTAGTGGATTGCAAAGCTATACAATACCTCATGTTACCGTTTTTACGCCTCCAAAGAGCAACTGTACAGGAAATCTTCCTCATGCCATTTAAGTCTTCCAAAGCTATTGTGTTTGATCACCATGTCTCTCCAGCACATACCTTCAATTATATAATTTATACGCATGCTCACAGGAGCAAAGTTGTCCACCTCAGGTATGACCTTCGGTCGTTTGGATGGTAGAAATTCACCTTACTTACGGTAGAACAAAGGTTTTAAAGTAAAATGACACAACATAATGGCATCAAGTGTAAGTCACTCAGAGCACAGTGCAATTTCAAGACAAAACATCAAAGCAGCATCCAAAAATCATTAAATATCACGCGAGACTTGACAATGGCAAAACATAAATGAAAAATTAGCGCCCAAATATGGGCTTAACGTTTCCGTTGATTTGTCTAACAGTCGGAAATATTTTGCTCGAAACCCTGGCAAAGTTACGGCGGAAACTGACATTTACTGTGAATTGAGGGGAACTGATGCCTACGCTGATGTTAGGGTAATTTTTAAAGAGAACCGATACCTTCGCTGGTGGTAGGATAACTTGAGGGTGACTGATAATTACGCGGATGGCAGTGTGACTTAAAGGGAACTAACACCTACGCTGATGGCAGCGTGACATAAGGAGAACTGATACCTACGCTGATGGCAGCGCGATATGAGGAGAACTGATACCTACGCTGATGGCAGCGCGATATTACCGTTTTTAGGTCTCCCAATGAACAACTGTACAGGAAATATTCCTCGTGTCATTTGACTCCTCCAAAGCTATTGTTTTTGATCGCCATATGTCTCTCCAAGAACATACCTTCATTTATATAATTTGTAAGCATTCTCACAGGAGCGACGTTGTCCACCTAAAGTATGATCTTCGGTCGTTTGGATGGTAGAAATTCACCTTACTTATGGTAGAACCAAGGTTTTAATGTTAAATAACACAACATAATGGTATCATGTGTAATTAAGTCACTCAGAGCACAGTGCGTTCTAAAAAAACATCAAAGCAGCATCAAAAAATCTTTGGATATAACGCGAGACAGTCGGAAATACTTTGCTCGAAACCCCAGCAAAGTTACGGCAGAAACTGACGTTTAGGGTGAATTGAGGGGAACTGATACCTACGCTGATGGCAGAGTGACTAAAGGGGAACTGATAACTACGCTAATAGCAGCGTGACTTGAGGGGAACTGACACATACGCTGATGGCAGTGTCACTTAAGTGGAAATGATACCTACGCTGATGGCAGCGTGACTTGAGGGGAACTGACACATACGCTGATGGCAGCGTGACATAAGGAGAACTGATACCTACGCTGAAAGCAACGTGACTTGAGGGGAACTGACACATACGCTGATGGCAGTGTCACTTAAGGGGAAATTATACCTACGCTGATGGCAGAGTGACTAAAGGGGAACTGATACCTACGCTGATGGCAGAGTGACTTGAGGGGAACTGACACATACGCTGATGGCAGTGTCACTTAAGGGGAAATGATACCTACGCTGATAATGAGAACTTAACGGAACTGACACCTACACGTTTTTTTTGACAGTCGAAGACAAAGAAATAATGTTATTCGCCTTGACCGCCTTCTTCGAGTTTGATGAGGAAGATGAATCCAATTTTCTTCCTCTTATTAGTCGATGAGCCTTTCAGGATGATGGTGAGCTCTCCCGTGAAAGATGCCTCCTGCCCAGCATACGCAATGCATTGATGAATGGCAGCAGGACTTTCACAAGTACCTCTCCGCAACATCTTCCACAAGCACCTTTATGCATACCCCACAAGTACCTCTATGCATCACCCACAAGCACCTCTATGCATCACCCACAAGCACCTCTATGCATCACCCACAAGCACCTCGATCTATGCATCACCCACAAGCACCTCTATGCATCACCCACAAGCTTCTCTATGCAGCACCCACAAGCACCTCAATGCTTCACCCACAAGCACCTCTCTGAAACAGTTGTGTGAGTGAAGTGATATAATTCAGCTCAGGCATAAACCCATTCCTGGGGGCAGTCGTCAGGTTGACTGAAATAACGAGCGTATCGAGGGCAGAGACATCGACGCAGATAAGCTGCTACGGATGTAACTCTTTGTTCGCGCTGAATAGATTATGTGTGAATTTCCCTATAACATAATATCCATAATACACTACCAACAGACACAACGCATCGCTTGGACCTACCATCTCCACCAACAGACACAACGCATCGCTATCAGCTTCCAACTCCACCAACAGACACAACGCATCACTTGGAGTCACCAACAGACACCATCATGCGCTCAGCGCTCACTGTAACACCGGTGGTGTCCGTGCAGTAGTTGAAGTTGGCGCCACTCCCCGTCCCGTCCGTGTCAAACTCAACACTGTACCCGTCACACTCGTCGTCCCCCTTGAAGTCAGTCGACGGGTCAAAGATGATCTTGAACTTTGCTGTGAGGTCCGTCGTGTGCGTTAATTTCACAGAGCAGTCGGTCACAGCCTCGTTGGGGAAATACCGACACCCGAGCCCAGGATGAGACAAGACGTAGACCCCGAACTCCCCGGGGTCCGGAAGTGTGATCGTCTGGCCGCAGTTCTTGACTGAAATGAGCGCAAACGGGGATTATGCACAATGGCGGTTGATGATTCAGATTAACCTAATGAACTCGACAGCAAATTAAGAATACCTTTTGTAACGAATTATTATTTCGTTGGGGAAATACCGACACCCAAGCCCAGGATGAGACAAGACGTAAACCCCGAACTCGCCGGGGTCCGGGAGTGTGATCGTCTGGCTGCAGTTCTTGACTGAAATGAGCGCAAACGGATATTATGGTATTATGCACAATGGTGATTGATAATTCAGATTAGCCGAATGAACTCGACAGCAAATTTAGAATACCTTTTGTGACGAATTACGATAATTTAATCAGCAATATGATGATAATCTATGAATTTATGGTAGGATTCATATTCATGGGAACAATCATAATCTTTCCTGGATTCAGTATAGACGACTGTGACATGTAGCTGCAATTAATTAAATATTGAAAGAATTATATGTGATATCAGACAAGTTCTTATTACTGACGCTGAACAATTGAGACTCGTCATATGGATTATAATAATGGATCAAAACGAAGGCCGAAAATGAGACTCAACAACAAACAGAAATTTTCTGCCCGCGCATTGTCACAAGCAGGGTGGCCCAGTGGTTAAAGTTCAGAGTACCAAGATTGGCGCAGAGAGGCGCGGGTTCGATCCCAGCTCTGTGCGCCAGTTTCTGGTCAGAATCGGCAAGGAGGCCGGGCGGTTAAGCATAGCAGAATTGTAGCAGAGTTGCGAGTTCGAGACCGCAAAATGCTGTGAATGTTCTGCGATGTTAAGAATCGGCGACAGGCCTACGGCCTAATAATAACTGACAGGCCTACGGCCTAATAATAACGCTGAAACCGCTATTATCTATTATTATAAGCCACGTTCCGTTTCCGGTGGGCTCATTCACATTCACGGCCTCAGCTCGACTCCCATAAGATCTGACAGCGATCATTATAAGACGAGTCACAGAATGTTTGCTAACCAATAAAAAAGGTTCAACTATCATTTACAGTTCTGGATGTTCAGAACTTTACTGACGTAGGACTATGGGAGGAGGCGAAGTGAGCTGGTAAGGTATGAGCGCCACGTCACCACAGGGAGCCGAGGTGATGCAGGACTCCAGGTCAACGGCTGCGCTAAGGAATTTTCGACTGTTGCCCCTCGCATCGTACACGACGACGTTTGCTGTTAGGAGATAACATACGATTTCTGATGATCAAACTCAAGGAATTTCCGGCTGGCTCAAATGTCAGCTTCAACGATGTTATTAATTTAAAGATTTTACAGTATCCAAGCATGAGCATCCTGGTTTGTATTCGGAGTTTAGGTGTGCATAATAAATCTATCATGGAGAAACAATCGAAAGATGATGAGGACAATAAAGCTTGATTTTGATGACATGCACCGTCAAGAATTTGTGATTTATTGGAAAGGAAAGGCTTTAGTGAAAGGAGGTTGCTGCTGTATTACTGCATTACCTTGGTCTTCTGAAGGCAAAGACATTCCAAAACTTTTGGAAGGCATATCAATCGACAAGTCATTCTTGATTTTCAGCAGACGTGCTTCATTAAAGGAAACATTCATCGTGCTAGGGTCATCTGTAAAATAGAGTGCAGTTAATAGAATATCTCTCAGACGAGGCTCGTGTGTTATCAACACGTGATCACGTCTTGGCGGAGCTTCGTGTGATATCAACACGTCAACTAAACGTTGTAGCGTAGCATATATATGTAATCAACGTTACTCTGACGCATTTCTCAGCAACAGTCAGCTGGGCGGACGATGCTACGTCTGATCAGAAGCTGAATGTAACCACAGTCTCACAGTTAACAGTCGCTGAATGCCACCACAGTCTCACAGTTAACAGTCACATTTACCATGACTGCCACCCTGTCACTGCCCCGCGTTCTGGGATGACGATAGGAAAGATGCCGTAGGTAACATATCACTTGGTCAGGTCAATCGGGCGGGTCACTCCGCTGCCACACTGATGCATTCACTCTTTATATGAAACAAACTAGGGAGGTGGAAGAAATGAGTGAAGGATTCTATGTCGCCTTTTATGGGGTTTTTAGTTGAAGTTTAGGAAAGGCGAGTTTCGATTAGGACAAGCGTCCTGTAAGTGTAGGATGGTCCTGAGACCATCCTACACTTGCAGGACGCTGTCCTAATCGCACGCTTGCAGGACGTTTTCCTAACCGTACACTTGCAGGACGTTGTTCTAACCGTACACTTGCAGGACGTTGTCCTAATCGTACACTTGCAGGACGTTGTCCTAACCGTACACTTGCAGGACGTTGTCCTAATCGTACACTTCCAGGACGTTGTCCTAACCGTACACTTGCAGGACGCTGTCCTAACCGTACACTTGCAGGACGTTGTCCTAACCGTACACTTGCAGGACGTTGTCCTAACCGTACACTTGCAGGACGCTGTCCTAACCGTACACTTGCAGGACGCTGTCCTAACCGTACACTTGCAGGACGCTGTCCTAACCGTACACTTGCAGGACGTTGTCCTAACCGTACACTTGCAGGAC